CCACCAAGTCTGGCTAGTTTCCTATTTTTAGTAGAGATGGGGTCTCTCTCTCTCTTACTCAGGCTGATCTGGAACTCCTGACCTCAAGTTATCCTCCCACCTCAGCCTCCCAGAGTGCTGGGATTACAGGCATGAGCCACAGCACCCAGCCAAAGCTGACAATCTTTTTGGTGGTTTCTATTATGCCAAATTTCTTGAGTCTCCAACCTTTCATCACCATCATGGGATGACAGAACTAGCAGAACAAGCCAGCTCATTTCTTCACTAGTGCTGGGAAGAGAGAGCAGAAGCACTAGAAATACACTTAAAACAAATTCCTTACCTGAGTTGACAAGGTCCTGCCCCTGCCTCTCACTCCAGTTGAGAACCTCTGTCTGCTTGCTCTAGGCTCTGCCTCACTGCTTTCCTGCCAGTTCTTGAAGACACTATGTTCCCTCCCACTTCAAGGGCCTTTGACTATTTTGTTCTCTGCCTGGAGGGCTCCTCCCCTAGGCTGTTTGTGTGGCCGACTTCTCATCCTTCAAGGATCTCAGCTTCATGCCTCCTCAGAGAGGCCTTCTATACTGGGTTTTACTCCTCTCTTCCTACCTCTTAAAACCCTCACCATGGTTTGTGAATATATATTTATTTGTGAATTGATTTGTTTAAGGGCTGCCTTCCCCAGTTGACAGTGAGCTCCAACGAGGGCAGGGACCTTGGTTGGTTGTTCACCGCTATATCTCCGGTACCTAGAACCATGCTTGGCTCACAGTAAGTGAATTAATGATTTGTTGAATGAGCTATAGCTGAGGAAGCCCTCTGCTGATCCAAGGTAAGTCTGAAGGTTGGGCCATAGCAAGAATTCCCTAGGACAGAAGCACTTAGCCGGGAAATTGGTCAGGACTGTGGTGCCCATCTTCCCTCATATGGCCCTAGACAAGAAGAGACAAGGATGGAGAAAGAAGGGGAGAGGGGAGATGATAACATGATTCTGTATTCCTCCAGTTCCTAACACAGTTCCTGGGATATTGTAGGTGTTCAAGAGTGTTGGTTGATTGAATGAATGAGCAGACAGTATGTGTGGCTTTTCAGAGGCACTTTTGCCTGATTATCTCCTTGGGTCCTCACAACACCTGAGAGGTGGTATCATCACATCCCTGCTTCACAGAAGCGAGCCCTGAGAAAGGGCTAATTCAGTTCTGAGAGGAGTTAGTAAACATCTTTCACATCTTGCCAGAGGCTCCAGAATGTTTTTGCTTCTTATCATTGCCCTCTGACATTCTAATTAATCACAGTTCATGGCTCTTGAAATAGCCATTATCTTTAAGTCTTGGGAGGCTCTGCTCTGAATGAAATGACACTGCAGCCAGCAAACTGCAGAGATGGGAATCTAGCAGGCATGTTAGCCTGGCATCCTTTGTCAGAGGCTCTCCGCGTTGCCTTCACCTAGACAGTGATTCTGTTTTCTGTGCGTAGGGTCTCTTCTTCCTCTTCTTTTTTTTATTTTTTCTTGAGACAAGGTCTTGCTCTGTCGCCTGGGGTAGAATGCAGTGGCATCAGCATAGCTCACTGCAACTTCAAACTCCTGGCTCAGACAAACCTCCTGCCTCAGCCTCCTGAGTAGCTGGGACTGCAGGCATGAGCCACCACCCCTGGCTAATTTTTCTATTTTTTTTGTAGAGACGGGGTCTCACTTTGGCTCAGGCTCCTAGGGTCTCTTCTAACACCCTGCACAGTATTAGGAAGAACACACAAGCCAGGAGTCAGAAGCCATAGATATTAACTCTGGCTTTGGCTCTAACAAGCTGTGTGATCTTGGGTAAGTCACTTAATCTCACAGTCTCTTTTTCCTCTGTATAGAAAATCTGTGCCATGTCACAGGGTTGATGTCAAGACTTGAATGGAAAAAACAAAAATAACTATTCCAAAGAATGATTACAGACTTTTCTTGAATCATTTACCCTCCCACCATAGTTTGAGTCAGTGATCTTACAGTTTACTACCCCCCAGAGCCATTTGGTCTCTCCTGGAGAAAACCAAGAAGCATCCCTTATTTACCCACAAACAACTAAAGTTTAGTAATATAGCTGGAATACACACACATACAGACAGCAGACATTGGCATATTTATACTCAAAATACCACACTCTAGAACATATGCAGTGGGAGAGAGAGATCATAATTTGTCACACTCAACCACCAGGTTTGTTCTAGAATTATACAGTCTTTGAGCTGGAAGAGACCTCAGAGATTTAACTCTAATCCAATGCCTTCATTTTTTTAATATAACTGAAGAAAGTGCAATCCAGAGAGAAGGATTGAGCTGCTCAGGGTTACCCAGTGATGTCCGACCTAAGTCTTCTGACTCCAAGTTCAGTGTCTACACCATGACTGCGCCTTATACACACCAGCTCCCTTTCCACTTTAACATCTGGATCTGGAGACAGCCCAAAGCTGTGGGGGATCTTCATGTCCTCTCATGGGTGAAGTCTGGT